TGAGATTCTGAACGATCATGGTCTTCTTTTCAAGAGGTCTTTCTGATGAGCTTCTTTTCGAGCTCAGGCTTGCACCTGCATGCAATGTTGTGATAGGATCTGACGAGACACAGCTCGCTTGTGAATTGTCTGACATCCAGCTTGAGTTGAACTCATTCACAGTCAAGAACTCGCTGATGAGGCCTTGTTTAACTACAAAAAGGGAAAGAGATTCATGCAAGAACACGTCACTCATCTCAAGAAAACCTAAGTAGGTAACAAATCATGTGCGATCATCAATGAGAGCATCAATGTCCCAAGGATGTCAATGAAGGGACTTCTTTTTTTTTACGAGCCATATGTCGCTGGTGCTAGAGGCACTGAGAAGACTTTGAATCCTGACGTAACTGAAGTGAAGGTGATTGTCAATGGAATCCCAAATAAGATCTGGATAGCAGCAGATATATCACGAATTTAAGAAAATATACGACATTTTTTAAAAAAAATGTTTCGACAGTTCTTCTGTCATCTTCAATTCTGATTTATACAAAGTACAAAGTTGAATTTATAGTGTATAACAAAATGCTCATTGAGCAAAACAAACCATGGAAACAAAACAATGTATGCAATTACAAGGAAAGTGTTAAATTAACACGAAAAAGTTGATGATTAAGTGTAGGTTGCTACCATTGAATGTGGATAGCTTCTTTGATTTTAAGTTAGAAAGTTGTGGAAGCGTGATCTAAGATGCCAAAACACTCGTCAGAACATAGAGTGCGACATAGTTGAGAATTTTGTAAGTGTCTGAAAATGTGAGAGGTCCCATTACTGACCAAGTGCTCATGCACACGCGTGAGTAAATGCTGAGGGGTTTCACCGACATAAAAACTTGTAAACCACACACGTACGGGGCCCACGAGGGATAGGGTCTTTCACACCAACTTATAAACTATTTTAAAAGACGAAAAAACCAACTTAATATCTACAACAAAAAAAGGGCCGATGTAAGGTAGTTTGAAATAAAAGGTCAGCGTAGTGTCTGAAACGGAAATCCTTTCATCCTGTCAGATGCTCAGCTCAACATCATCAACCGTGAGCTTGAAAGTGTGACCTATTAAGGATAACTTCTCATTTACAAAGACACTCTTTTGACAGAAGAAAAAATCAAGGCACACCATGACTTCTGTGCGGGAAGATACAACATAGATATCTGAAAATCTTCACAAAAGACAATCAACACCCCGATGGTGTGACAAGAGAATCGTTTAAGAGAATCATTCAAGAGGATCGTTCAAGAGAATAATTTTTACATCCTATTCAGAACTCAAGAGTGAGACATTGTGAACATTATTCACCTGTGAAAAATTCAAGTTTTCTTGAAATCAAGGTTGTCACCAAAATGTACAATAACCGTTTTTCAATGTTGACTTGAAATCAAGGTTAAATTCATGAGCTGCCTTAAAAATCAAGGTTGTTTTTAAAATGAGCCAGAATCCCCCTTTTATTTAACAAATAGAGAAGCCTTGACTGTGCTCTGTTCTGTTGTAAAGCACGCAGGAAGCGGCTAGAGCACGAAAGAAGTGTAGGGGGAAACACGAGACGTAGTCCAGTCTTTCTCCCTACTTCTTAAGTGCTCTAGCCGCTTCCTAAGTGCTTTACAACAGAACAGAGCACAGTCAAGGCTTCTCTATTTGTTTTATAATAAAGAATCCGTTAAATTCCCCAAGAATTACTTTCAATTTTCAAAACAAATCTTATTTCCCAAGCGAAGAACAGTGTCGTCAGCATGCTCTATACTCTCATAAAGCACGCTACAATAAGCCAATCAGAATTCCTGTAAGAATGGTTCAAATAATCTGATTGGCTGTACAAGGCTAAAGCTGTCAAAAATGTCAAACCATCAAAGTTCATAAACCATCAAAGTTCATATTCTGCAATAGTTTACAAACTGAAATAGCTCGGCATGTCGAATTTAACACTTTTGCCTGAAGTTTTTTAGTTTCTAATACAGGATCTGAAAGTGAAATGTTCAGTGAAATTCGGCCCAATCGTAGCTCACAAAAATATGCAAGTTATTTCACATGACAAGTAGAAAACAAACTGTTCAAGGCGAGTGTATTATGAATGAACAACAGCCGAATTCACCAAGACAAAAAGATCGCTCGGAATGACAGCGCCGTAAAACTCGGTCGCAGTGACTGATCTGGCCTTCCACTCAACGCATCGGAAAGGTAATCAGGGCAAGCTCTTATTTTTTCACTCGAAGGGTAGTCGATTTAGTTCCTGAGGCTTGCTCCGCTGCGATGACCGAAGATCGCCATGATTAGCTAGCCGCGATAGACCTTAAGTCTTTGACACCGTCATGATTAGTATGAATTTTAACAGTTATGCCATGTTATATTTTTCATAATTCCTGTTTTTTACTATTTGAAATCGAAACTTTATATACTATACAATTGTTAGCTTTGTTTGATTTTTATTACCGTACGTAAACTCGCAATCTAACTGAGCGTGAAAACCGTTAAAAAAACTCGGACTGTCTATCTTGTTTTATCTTTGAGGATTTTTGTCTCTGCTCACGTTACAGTAACGTAAATTACTGCGCCTGGAATTTTTGCAAACCTTTGCTTGCTTGTTCCGAAATTTCACTTTCAATTAACGAAAGAAAAGCTAGAAAGAAGTCCCGGAAAAGGTCGGACATAGTACGATTTGGCAGATGGCGTGACAGCTTTAGCTCAGTTCTATGCTCTATACACTCATAGAGCACGCTCTTTCAACCAATGAAAGTACGTGTTATATCCGAGCTTTATTATAATTAACAAATAGAGAAGCTTTGACTGTGCTCTGTTCTGTTATAAAGCACGCAGGAAGCGGCTAGAGCACGAAAGAAGTGTAGGGAGAAACACGAGACGTAGTCGAGTGTTTCTTCCCACTTCTTGAGTGCTCTAACCGCTTCCTAAGTGCTTTATAACAGAACAGAGCACAGTCAAGGCTTCTCTATTTGTTTTATAATAAAGAATCTGTCAAATTCTCCATGCATTACTTTCAATTTTCAAAACTAACTTTATTTCCAAAGCGAACAACAGTGTCGTCAGCATGCTCTATACTCTCATAAAGCACGCTACAATAAGCCAATCAGAATTCCTGTTAGAATGGTTCAAATAATCTGATTGGCTGTACAAGACTAAAGCTGTCAAAAATGTCAAACCATCAAAGTTCATAAACCATCAAAGTTCATATTCTGCAATAGTTTACAAACTAAAATAGCTCGGCATGTCGAATTTAACACTTTTGCCTGAAGTTTTTTAGTTTCTAATACAGGATCTGAAAGTGAAATGTTCAGTGAAATTCGGCCCAATCGTGGCTCACAAAAATACGCAAGTTATTTCACATGACAAGTAGAAAACAAACTGTTCAAGGCGAGTGTATTATGAATGAACAACAGCCGAATTCACCAAGACAAAAAGATCGCTCGGAATGACAGCGCCGTAAAACTCGGTTGCAGTGACTGATCTGGCCTTCCACTCAACGCATCGGAAAAGTAATCAGGACAAGCTCTTATTTTTTCACTCGAAGGGTAGTCGATTTAGTTCCTGAGGCTTGCTCCACTGCGATGACCGAAGATCGCCATGATTAGCTAGCCGCGATAGACCTTAAGTCTTTGACACCGTCATGATTAGTATGAATTTTAACAGTTATGCCATGTTATATTTTTCACAATTCCTGTTTTTTTCTAGTTGAAATCGAAACTTTATATACTATACAAGTGTTAGCTGTGTTTGATTTTTATTACCGTACGTAAACTCGCAATCTAACTGAGCGTGAAAACCGTTAAAAAAACTCGGACTATCTATCTTGTTTTATCTTTGAGGATTTTTGTCTCTGCTCACGTTACAGTAACGTAAATTACTGCGCCTGGCATTTTTGCAAGCCTTTCCTCGCTTGTTCCGAAATTTCACTTTTATTAACGAAAGAAAAGCTAGAAAGAAGTCCCGGAAAAGGTCGGACATAGTACGATTTGGCAGATGGCGTAACAGCTTTAGCTCAGTTCTATGCTCTATACTCTCATAGAGCACGCTCTTTCAACCAATGACAGTACGTGTTATATCCGAGCTTTATTATAAATTACCTTTATCTGCACCTAACAGTGATATGTTGTCTAAAACGTTGACTGATATGAATTTTTTTTGAGGATTTCCAGATTGTTTTCATCAGTTGTTTAACACAGGTAGAGACATAGCGTCGAAAAAACACGCTTCGGCAGTTCGCGGAATAATTGTTTCATGAAAAATTTGGTTAACTAAATTTCTAATTATCTAAGGACTTAATTTTTGAACACTGTTGACGTCATCTCTATAATCAATTTAACAAATAGAGAAGCCTTGACTGTGCTCTGTTCTGTTGTAAAGCACGCAGGAAGCGGCTAGAGCACGAAAGAAGTGTAGGGGGAAACACGAGACGTAGTCCAGTGTTTCTCCCTACTTCTTAAGTGCTCTAGCCGCTTCCTAAGTGCTTTACAACAGAACAGAGCACAGTCAAGGCTTCTCTATTTGTTTTATAATAAAGAATCCGTTAAATTCCCCAAGAATTACTTTCAATTTTCAAAACAAATCTTATTTCCCAAGCGAAGAACAGTGTCGTCAGCATGCTCTATACTCTCATAAAGCACGCTACAATAAGCCAATCAGAATTCCTGTAAGAATGGTTCAAATAATCTGATTGGCTGTACAAGGCTAAAGCTGTCAAAAATGTCAAACCATCAAAGTTCATAAACCATCAAAGTTCATATTCTGCAATAGTTTACAAACTGAAATAGCTCAGCATGTCGAATTTAACACTTTTGCCTGAAGTTTTTTAGTTTCTAATACAGGATCTGAAAGTGAAATGTTCAGTGAAATCCGGCCCAATCGTAGCTCACAAAAATATGCAAGTTATTTCACATGACAAGTAGAAAACAAACTGTTCAAGGCGAGTGTATTATGAATGAACAACAGCCGAATTCACCAAGACAAAAAGATCGCTCGGAATGACAGCGCCGTAAAACTCGGTCGCAGTGACTGATCTGGCCTTCCACTCAACGCATCGGAAAGGTAATCAGGGCAAGCTCTTATTTTTTCACTCGAAGGGTAGTCGATTTAGTTCCTGAGGCTTGCTCCACTGCGATGACCGAAGATCGCCATGATTAGCTAGCCGCGATAGGTTTTAAGTCGCTCTGACACCATCAAGATTAGTATGAATTTTAACAGTTATGCCAGGTTATATTTTTCATAATTCCTGTTTTTTACTATTTGAAATCGAAACTTTATATACTATACAAGTGTTAGCTGTGTTTGATTTTTATTACCGTACGTAAACTCGCAATCTAACTGAGCGTGAAAACCGTTAAAAAAACTCGGACTGTCTATCTTGTTTTATCTTTGAGGATTTTTGTCTCTGCTCACGTTACAGTAACGTAAATTACTGCGCCTGGCATTTTTGCAAACCTTTCCTCGCTTGTTCCGAAATTTCACTTTCAATTAACGAAAGAAAAGCTAGAAAGAAGTCCCGGAAAAGGCCGGACATGGTACGATTTGGCAGATAGCGTGACAGCTTTAGCTCAGTTCTATGCTCTATACTCTCATAGAGTACGCTCTTTCAACCAATGACAGTACGTGTTATATCCGAGCTTTATTATAAAAGGTTATAGACAATGGGAAATTTTGGTCCATTTGATTAAGTTATGAAGTGTGACGGAAATAACAAAATGATTTTTCTCGTGCTATTTGGAATAAATAAGCACTTGTTAATTTTTTCAGACTACAAATTGCACTCGCCCTACAATTTTGTTAGTCTTTGAAAAAATTTACTCGTGCTTATTTATTCCAAATTGTACTCGAAATCATGTGATTAACTGTACTAACAAATTCAGGTTTGTCTCCGTCCAGGTGATGTATAACCAGCATTGATCCTCTGCACAATGGTCGTGCCTGATACAGCTAATTACGCGATCACCACCATACTGTTAACACTTGTCGCTGTGGACATTGCAGGAAATACATTGGTTTGTTTGATCATAAAAAGACACCTTCAGATGAGGTAATTACGAGTTAAACTCCACTCTTCGTACGTTCTTTCCTTACATATCTGTATTTCATAACAAATACACTTTTTGGCATAATTATGATGATTAGGAGGAATTCTTAAGATTTACCTCATAATAGCGGAGCTCGCAGAGCGTAGCCCCATAATTATACAAAATAGTAGTAACCCATCAAGCCGAAAAAATTTGGATGTACGACCGTACGACCGTACAAGGTGCTACTTTTAACATGCGTGGTCAACTGTACCGCGGGCACGCCGTGGGCTTTGTTTAGTAGTCCAGTGGTCAGTGCACTGGGCTCCAAGTCGGACAACCCGGGTACTAGTCCAGGCCAGAGCAAGGCGTTGTGCCCTTGAGACGTGTGGGGAAAAAAAGTGCGAGCTCCGCTTTTAGGCTTGGCTAAATCTATATATTACATTTACGGGTTGCCTCTTGTGTTTCTTACTTGACTGATATCTTTGAGTAGAAATTCATTAAATGTCCATTACCTTAAATTTAGAATCAGTCCTTATAGTGTATTAGAAAACGTTGATTTTTAGAAATTTCAGGGGCGGGTGAAATTCGTTTGATTACGAGTCAATCTTTTGATGCTTTTGGAATTTCTTTAGAGGTATTTTACTTCACAAAAAAAAAAAAAATATATATATATATATATATATATATATTCAATTGCTATCTTCCCTATTGACCTTTATGAGTTCGCTCTTTGACTCCAAAGGACTCCCATAAATTATTTACTCGTGAACCTGGCTATTTGCGATATCCTGTTTGCAACATTTATCACACCAAAGATTGTTGTAAGCTTCAATATAACTCACCCGGATGGAACTGCAGGCTCAGTCCTTTGTAAGTTGGTGACAGGTGGAAATCTGGCCTGGCTTCCTGGAATCACCTCAGTTGTTACTTTGGTAGCTATTGCTGTGGAACGATATTATACTGCGCTTTACCCACTGGATCCAAAGAGAAAACTGACCTACCGTAAGTTTAAGGTGAGTCAAAACATTCCCATCGACTTACCAGGTGAAAATACTGTCTGAGGTCTCTGACCAGCTGTTATTGAAAAGGAATCGTTTATCAGCATTTTCTGGTCCGTTCGACGTTTAATTTTCACGAGCTTAGATCTCAGGATCCGACATCGGAACCTTTATCTTAAGTTAACAATCACCTCCAAGTCCCTCAAGAAATATCAGGGAAAGTTGACTTGGAATGGGTAATGTTTGAAAATAAATACATCTGCAGACTCAGTCGAGAACTTCATTTGGACCCAGTAGGGGCAAAAAAATCTTTGTTTGCATATTACATTTATAGCAGAGGTAGCATACTCATTGTCAAATTCATTGACATGGTACAAGAAGACTAATTGTCATTCCTCATGCCATAAGTACGGTCATTATTCCTTACGCAAAAAGCGCGGTCAGTATTTCTTATGCAATAAGCATGGTCAGTGCATTTACCTGAATTTAGATATTCGATAACGACATATGTTATTCCTAAACTTGAAATATAAATTCATGATGATTATGAACGTAATAGAATTCGAATTCAATTTTTTTATTTCAGGGGTATGCATAGCCTCTCTTGATGACCGAAAAAGCAAATACACCTCGGATCAAATTATTTTCGAAGAAAATGAAACGCTTCCATGAATTTATATTTCAGGTGATCGTCCTTAGTTCTTGGGTGTTCTCGCTGATTTTCAACTCACCAAAATTTTTCGTCAGGACATTTGATGACCAGAAAAATCATTGTGTACAAAGCTGGCCCAAAAGGTGGATGATTACAGCTTCCTGCTTGACGTGGTTGTTTCTGATCGTAGTTTCCGTTGGCATAATGATTGTGTTATACTCTAAAGTAGTATACACGTTATGGTACAAACCCAATGATGGCAACCCACTAAACTATCAACAACGGGTGAGTTAATAATTTTAAATTATGTCTGGAATAGTCAAACCAATTCAGCTTATACTGAGTCAGTTTAGTTAATAAGGCTGAAGTAGCCAGAGTAAAGGTATAAACAATTCTCTCTCTGTGGTTATTTGTTAGAGCTCCAGTGAGAGTACTTTTATTTTCTACCTGCGCATGACGAGTGTTTACCGCAAGGTCTACAGCTGGGTCACAAATATATGCTACAGAGTTTTCATATAAATTTCTGCCTCAAAGTCTCGAAGAATTATGTTGTCAACTTTACTAAGCATTCACTTTCCTTGCCGTTAACAGAAAAATAAAATAATTTTAACCCTTGATATCGGTGAGGATTTAATTGGTAATAGCATCTGAGTTGACAATATCTTCTCTTTCCTTATACTTGATTCACAGAGTGTGCTGAAGGTGCGGAAACGCGTCACTTTGATGGTCATAACTGTCAGTGTCATATTTGCGATTTGTTGGGGAGCAGAGTCAATTGAATACGTGTTAAGATTTCTCACGACTCTGAACATCACCTTCGTCCATATTACCATCGTTGACATGATGGTGTTGTTTAATTCAGCTGTTAACCCATTCATATATGCCCTCCTGAACCATCAATTCAGACAGAAGATCAGAAGAGTGACTTGCTGCCTAAGTTCTGTGGTAGCGCCTAGGCCACGGGCTGAAACCGGCACGAAGAAAAGTTTTGTGGATGAAACCAAGCCTTATATTCTTAAATAGCTCATGACAAATGGCTCAGAAGCCGTCAAAGTACCTTAGTTCTTCCTTGTTAGTGGCCAAAAATCCACTTCAGAGAAAAAAGACTGCATGTAGTAGAAAACTAAGCCAACTTATATCTTGAGCACGGAATCTTTGTATCGTTTACGACCAGTATGGATCATAGAGAGCGAAGGAATTAAACTGAAAACATATGAAAATCATATATAAATCTTTTTTTTTTTCTTTCAGGCATTATTTTTCACTACTAGTTAAGTAGTATTCATAACTGCGAGGATCGCTTCCATTTCGTTTCTTCAACCGCAGTGTACATATATGATTTTCATGTATTTACAGTAATGAATTTACCACGTGAAGGGTTTATTTGTAACCAACATAATGACCAGCTCCCAGTTGACTTGTTATCTCAGTTGGTAGAGCGCTGCACCGATATAAAAAATGTGAAATAAGATAATTTGTTAACAGTCAAATTTACTGTAAGTTGCGCTTATAGTACAAATATCGTTTTATAATGCAAAAAAGCTCCAAAAAAGGCAGATGAAAACAAGTTTAAAAACAAAAGGCAGGAAAGAAGAGAAGAAAAAAAGAAAAAGAAAAAAACGGAGAAAGGACTGGAAGAAAGGGAAACTCTGAGGAGTTCCTTACTTTCATCCCAAAATCCTAGTTCTCATCCATACTACTAATTCTCTTGATCGATTCAATAGCTGCCGTAGCTAAACATCATCATCCAGCCTTCATGTTACATATCATTCCTTTCTAATAGAGTGAATTCGTAGAATCCGTTCGTTTATGCTAATGAGTTTTCACTCAAAGCTAATGAGAAGAACAATAGGCCATTTGCGAATTACTGTTAGTTTCATTTTCAAAGCGAGTCCTGGTGCTCATCCTTTCATGTGATTATAGGTTTTCATTCACATCTCCATTACTTGACTGTTTTAAATTTATATTTTGAGGTTAACAGTGCTTTTATCCCACAAATTTAGGACAAAGAATGTGTCGTAATTACTCTTTCATACTGCTTGTTGTTGGTATGGTTAATAAAGTACTCCAGAAATGAAAGCAAGCTGGACGCCTTACCAAAAATATCGGTAAGGGGACAAATGCGTGCATGCCGAGCACTCTGATAGAGCTTACATGCAACTTTAAAATAACTTGCCTCATATCGGATTTGGGACCTTGCTACCACCGATCTGTTGGATTTACCTCTCCGACTGTGACATAGATATTCTGTCGATGAAATCTATGTGGTATGCGGGTACTTTAACAGGAGCTTACTAAGAGCGACATTTAAGGGCTATAGCCGGGTACATTTATAGACTCAAGCGGACAGTTTCTTTTGGTGCAGTAAAAGAGCATTCATCCTGTTCATTTAGCTGCGGTTAGGCTATTTACAAACTGTTTTTACCACGAGTTTATACGTCTTGAATATTTAGAGGGGTACTGAGCGTTTTTAAGTGTTAATGACTTTCCTCACGCCAGACTAATAAATTTTAATATGACACCTAAACTTTTCAACTGCACTTTCCTAAAAAATTTAACTTTTCAAATTTTTTATCTTTCTATAAACACCAATGTTTCAGTTCTTATAGTTGTTGTTGTTGTTATTTTTTTCTCTCCCTTCTCTCTCCTCCAACTGTCTGAACACAAAGGTCGCAGAGAATCCGGCTGGTTGCTATCAACTTGACTAAAATCCAGTGCATGTCTCAGTTTTGAAAATTCAATTGAAGCTCTCTTTAATAAATGGCCTCATCAAACTTAGGCTGTCTCAATATGGCTCCACCGTTTAATTTCAAGGTCCATTAATCAATACCATTTAGAGAGGGGGACTTTGGAGGTTTTCGGTTAAATGATTTTGGCAATTTTTTGGATCGGTTTTTGGTTTTAGCGCTGAAAAATTCGCTTTTTCGGTTTTGGTGCTTCTATCTGTTTGCGGTTTTTTCAGATGTGATGTCCTACTCGGTTTGCCGTTTTCCCATTTGTTACCCGATCTCTGTTCGCGAATTTTCACCTTCTGCTTGAGTTTCTAATTAATTGAACTTTGTTTTAATGTATGTTATGACGGTAAACACTCAACAGTCAATTCAGGTCGCGTGGAACCAATTGTTTTGAGTACCTGTTACAATCAAATCTTCCGATGAAATCTCATCTAACTTCTTGAACGTTCAATGTAAAGTTATTATTTCTCTGTGGAGGTTTTCAGAGCTGTAGGAGAGCTTTCAAAAAAAATTTTACGAATTTTCGTAATTCAAACAGCTTGAGACAAATAATGGTTTTGTATGCGGTTTTCGGTTTTGATCAATATCTGCTGCGGGTTTTGGCCGGTTTTTTGTGTGCAGTTTTGTAGTTTCTTGTGGAACCAATGCCCAACCTCAAATGTGTCATTTGAACAAGGCGGAGATTATTTTTTGCAGTAAAGTGATATCGAGAGACTCTTAACAAAGATATTATTATAGAATCACGCTGGACATTTTGATATGCATGTCCTTGGATACAAATTATCGAAGGATTTGATTTTCATCTGGAACTGATTTGATATTTTCTTCTTTCCTATAAAATCATGTTTAATCTGATTAATCATGATTTTTCGAGAAATTGTCAAATCAGAAGAACAGATGAAGGATAATTTATGCATTGGCAATCCATCAATCACTTATAAAAATTTAACAATTTAAATTTAACCTCATGTAAATTGCAGAGGGTTTCTAAGATGTTTTTTAGAAGATAGTTTTTAAAAATCTTAGACTGAACCAAATGAATGTCTTCCACGATTGTGATATGCTGACTTCAATATCTTACTTTTAACACAGCTAATCATCCCGTGTTCTTAGACATTCTCTTTAATTCTTACCAGAACATATGTCAAAAGTGGACCAAAACCTTGAAGAAAACAGTCTGAAATGAGAGGATAGGTTGCATTTTTCAATGAAACCTAATTCAAAGAGAGAAACCTCTTTTGTAATTGGCCAGCATGTCCCATCTTACATATTTAACCTTCGAACATTATTTCAAATTTCTAAAACTTGATGTACATATGATGAACTAGTTAATGGCTGGATCTGGTTAGCCCACATGCGGAAATATGCGGCACCCCAGTCATGATGCACAGACTTTGCTGCCCTTGGTTTATAATTCACAACCTCAAGCCAAATATTTTCCTGTGTGGCCTCCTCACTCAGTCAGTAAGTACATAGTATTTCGCCTTAGAAATTCCCTGTATCTCAAAGTTCAGTTCTTTTTCCGTTCCTTAACTCTCAGAAAGCAATCTCATTTGCAATCTCAGATGTCCATAATCAAGATATTATTTCTATGAAACATGATGACTGTTCTTGAAAAATCGTCTGGTTATGACTCACAGACAGAGGAGTGGAAAAATGAAAACATTGCTTTTCATTACCTATGCACTTCCTAATGTCCACAAAGCTAGTGTTATGTTTGCTGCCAGCAACAGTGTTCCAAGAGTGAGAATGATATTACACAGCATGTTCCTTTGATCTTCATTTGGTATAAATGAGGTAAGTGTGTGATCCACGAGAGCAAATAATGCCCACTGACCATCTAGTGAGTAACAAGGAACCATGTTGAGCAATGCTAAGGCTCCAGACAAAGACACCAAATATCTTCATGGAGTCAAGGAAAAACTCTTGTTGTAGAAAATTAAGAAATTTTGAGCTATAAAGAGTGAGGTCCTGGAAACAATATACAATACTAACAACTACATTTCAGTACAAACTTAATTTTATGAAATTGTGTGACTCCTGAGTTTTTACCTAAAAAAGTCATTGAAGCTTTTGAAGAAGTTTGTGCCACTTCCTGGCAAGAGAAAAAACTGAATCGAAATTAACTCACAGGACATTAATTTTTTGTTTGTCCTGAACATGTACTGTAATGTTACCTCTGAATCCCTAGATGTGATATCCAAGAAAATGACACCACCTTTCACAATAGGTAAAAGAGCATGATGTTTTATTAATATTTGAGATACAGCTGCTAAAAATTTGAGCTTGAAGCCCAGCTAAATGTTTCTAGGGTGTTTAAGTATTTAATAAGTTTCTGATCCCCTTCCTCTATACATGTCTTTACAGAATCTTCAATTCTAGACTTCTCTGACAACTTTTTAACAGAGATCTTGCTTGAATTACAACTTCTTCACCTTAGTTATTAGAATCCTCTAAATGATGCAACAGTTCATCCATAAACGATAAAGCTATGTTACAACTTTAAAAGATATGTTTAAAAGGATACATTAACAGCATCTCCAGCATGTTTGGAATTTCCATGGGCAGAAGATAACTTCGAGGTAGATAATTGATCACTCCAACTGAAAGTACAAGAGACAAAATCTCAAAATAAGTCTTCTGTCATGTGCTCTGACAAAGGGTTCATGCTCGAAAATGTCAGCTTTAGAAACTGTTACAGTTATCAACCCACATTTATTTACCACCTCAGCTGAAAAAACTCAATAATCTTGTAATTTCCCACAACAACACAGCACTGCAGTTTCTAAAGCATCTATTAATATAATTCACTAACTTGTCTAACAATCAATGTTAGTATCAAAACCTTGAGCGAAAATTAATCACAGTCCAAATTTGCCATGTACCTCTCAACAATGTTCTTAATTCATCAAATGTTTCCTTTACATTATATACCTGTGTATTGAAGAAGTAAAGGATCACCAACATACAGCACATCCGTACCCTTGCTTCGTATGATTCTTAAAAGACGACTGGAGTTATCTAATGATGGATGAGCACAAACTTTATCACCTGTATATATTGAAGAAATTGCAAAATTATTATCAATAATGTGACTAACTGAAATGACTCTTACACTGGACCTGTGTCACAAGTGGGGAAAACCAGTAAGGGATCTTAAAGTGTAAAGCATTCAAATTCATATTAATCTCATTTAAATGGTAACATCATAATAATTATATTCTCCTTTGCAGAATTCTTTGTTCTTCTGGTTGCCACTTGGTAATTAATTGATAAGAAAAAGTTAAAGGTCAGTTAAGCCTTGATACAAACCTGGTCCATCACAGTCTGTTGGTAGGCCACAAAGTTGTCTGGATTGCATGGTGCTTCTTGCTGGGAGACATGCATAGCCCTGTGATATAATGAAACAGAATTGTATGACTTAGACTGGTGTTGCCCTTAACCCTTTAAATCCCAGAAGTGATCAACATGTAACTTCTCCCTATAATTTCCAAACATTTTCCAACAAAACAGGTAATGAGAATACCCAAACTTATCAAGGAGAAGTTGTTACCCTGATCAAACACCATATTCTTGTAACTAATTTACATAGAAATGTGTAGCAGCCAAAAGGGAGAATTAATAACCAGAGTTTGGGAGTTACAGGGTTAGAAAGATTCAGAGGGAAAGAAGAAATAAAAGGTAAGAGTGGAAGGGAAAGAACCTCTAGAATTGATGCAAAGGAAAGCAAGGAGAGAACATGAAGGATGGAAGGGGTGGGCAGAGGGAGAGAGGAACAAAGGGTAAAAGAAAAGGAGAAACGTAAAACTAAAAGGATAAAAGGTGATGCCAAGAGGCAGAGAAAGCAAAAGATGGATGAAAGGGAAAAGAAAAGAAAGCAAGGAAAGGCAGAATTTGAATTACCTTTGAGTGGCTCAGAGACTGATACTTAAAACAGAACCTTGACGATGTTGAATTCTGACAGCAGTCATAGACTCCTCCACTGTATATTGCACCTTGGATATCAAGCAAAGTTCAAAGTTCCAGTGTTAGAGGACAGAGTTGCTATTACTAATAAAAAGTTAGTTGATAAATTAGAAAACTACCATGGCCTAACTACCTGGTGTACTCTGCACATAGCACTGCCCCTTTCACTTCTGGAATTAGTAGTGAAAATTTCTAATCAGCAAAAGAAAATACTGATAACCATCAAAACTGCCGAACAAACATTAAGTCCCGTTAACTCTCCCCTTCCCGATGATTTTTCACAGTTTTTGTGCCATGGATACCTCTCCACTCAAGGGTGAACGAGACCATCAGGATACCTAATGGGATGCTTGATGGGTGGAGAGGGGAGGGGTGGGAACCTGCATGTTCATCCCAAGAGGAGCAGCTGCAGTACTTCAAGATATTTATACCTTTAGAGGAGTTCTTCCTGGCAATGGTCAGCATGTCTGTGCAGTAGCCATGTTGGGGGGAACTGAGTGTTTTACTTATACAACTGTTCCAATCCTGTTTGTTATACACCTGACATCCATATAGTGACAAGATGGTGTCCCCACGTGTTATACTACCATGCACTGGGGATTCCTAAGGGAGAAAAAAAAGGGAAAAGTTTATTTCCTGTTCAATCCACCTTGGTTATTTAAAATTACAAAACACTCCAGTGTCATGCACAAGCATGCATTCTAATGAGCCTTGCACACTTCAGTGTAGCATGATTAAATAAAGTACAATTGTTGTTTTACTGTGTTTTTAAAACAATTAAGTGACAAATAAAGTATAATGTAAAGAAAGTTGTTTTTCCATCTTGTCAAAGACCTGAAACAAAGAAACAAACTCTGAGTCCCCATTCAAATTCCCAACTCTCTGTGCTGTAGCACAAGGGTTTTGGTTTGCTTCTACTTACTTTTAAAACTTTCAATACCACAGCACCTTGACCAGTGGCATAGATTGGAACCAGCAAATAAGGTAGAGACCACAGCAACACCAGACCTACTATGACAAGCACAGAATTATGCCACACACCAGCACAATAAATCCTCAGTTGACGCAATGGAGAGATGACAGTCAAATGTTCAGTGTACAAATCTACAAAGGCACCAGGATAAACAGCCATGAAGAACATTCCAAATCCATTCACTCGAACTTGTTCTCTGCAAAAGAGGTGAGTTAGATGTTTTGAAAAGAAGAAGGGTAACTGGCACATGGCGTAAACAAAGAAAAATTAACCATCTAGGAACTATGGTGGTGCTTGTCACTCTAAAATATACATTTGGAAATGTCATGTGTTACCACGACATCATAGTCTTTTTTGTCTTATGCGTAATTTAATCAGTAAATGATAAGTTGAGTAAATGAATCCAAGTGTATGGATATTCTCATGAGAACTACAGCCACAAATGCTGGTGCATAAATTCATTTTATATTGTTTATCTTTTCAATATTCTGTTAAGTTTAAGTACATCAAATCAGTTAGTGTTCAGCGATTTTTTTCATTTGACCTTTTGCATTATATGGAACAGAGGTGATGAAAGAGTGTAGTAAGAAACATTTGATGAGGTTATCCCAAACATTAACATTGGGAAGGCAAACATTAACATTGTGAAGAAAAACCTTAGAAAATTGATTGCTCTTTTCTTATAGTTAAGAGGTTTATGTAATGATATTCTGACTTTGAAACCATTTTACTCCCAGAAGTGATTAACTGGAAAATTCTCCCTATAATATCCATACACTTAAACGAACAGGTAATGAGAATACCCAAACTTATCAGGAATGAACTGTTATCTTGATCTTTAACCAAATTCTCCAAACTAATTTACAAGTTTGAAAGTGTGTAGCATTTAGGGAAGAGAATTAACCATCAAATCTCAGGAGTTAAAGGATTGAAAATTATATAATAAACAAAATACACAGGACAAAGTAGTGGAAAGTGTGGCCTTGACACACTGCACAAGGGTTTTTTGTAAAAGTTATCGTAGGCTTTTTCACTTGAGCTTCAGCACTAACAGGAGCCTGTTTGCAGGCTAAAGAACAATGGGCTACACACCTGACAGCAGAAATAGCATGTCCAAATTCATGGAAAACACCACTAACTGTCAATGTGATGAGGTAGTACAAGACTTGACTCCATGGTACATTCACTCCTGGCATCTGTTAAATAAGTAAAATACTATAACATGTGAACATCACCTATTGGAACTGAACCTAAATAAGTAAACTTGTCAATTTGACTTTTTGCAGTTTTTCTATCTAGCAATTTTACATGTGGTAATTGAAATTTCTGACCCTTTCACTCCCAAGACATATTTTCTCCTTACAATATCAACACAATATTAAGCAGCCAAGTGATCAGTGTAGCAAAAAGTAGTAACTAGGGGATTATCAATTTATCTAATAACAAATTGCCAGAACAAAATATATAGGAAATGTATGACAGACAGTAAAAGAGAATTTTCGTTGAGGTATTAGGAGTACAAGGGTTAAATTTTACTCTAAAAGAGACTTCAGGTTATCAAAATATTGGCCACTCTCAATGCCAACAGCCCTTTTTAAAACTTCTCTATCTTTGCATCACACTTCACACCTTTGACCTTCAGACAGTAGATGCTAATCAAGGCGGGTCGATTTTCTTCTTAACTAAATTAAATTGAATTGAATTACTTTGGAAACAATACAGATTGAAATAAAGAAATAACACATAAAAAGACATAAATAGACACACAAGAAAAGAAAAAGGAAAATAAAAGACATTCGTTGTAAAAGAGAAAAAATCCTTAGTTTCTAAGTGTACAAAAAATATCAGCAGTATACACAGAGGTAACAGAGGCCTTAATTTTTTTCTCAGACATATCTCTTTTCCACTGTAAATCTTTTTCGCAAATACCAAATAAAATCACTTACCACAGGAGTTAACACCTGCTCTGGTGCATCTTTAGCAAAGGCTTTATACAGAGTTAGACAAAGGATAACAACCGAAGCAAACATTAACAGAACACCGACTACGACTCCCACAGAAAACCACACATGCAATAAGTAAGGGTGCATCTTTCCAAATCTGACAAATGATCTGTTGAAGCTTGTAGTGTACCAGCGCACTTGACATGGTGACAAAGAAATGCCATTATTTTCAAGAAACTCTTTATATCTTCGTGAGTATTTTCTATAATTCTAAAACACAAAAGTAAAATCAAATGTTTTTTTTATGGTAAAAATATGATCGCAACTACTTTTAAAGATTATAAAATGGAAGCTACACTGATATGTATCGCCATCAAAAAGTTTGCTATCTCAGCAATATGCATTATAACCCCTCTGTCATAAATTAATTTCTTTTTTTTATGGATGAAGGAAGTTGTAATTTAACTACATTCATTTATCACCTTGGACTGTGGGACTTATTCAGGGAGGGTGCTTATTAACTCTGCCTATTAACTGCTCTGTCCCAAATGTAGCACTTGGTCGAGGAAGGTGCTTAATCAAGGGTGGTACTTATTCTAGTGTATCAATTGCAGCTGATTAACATGGAAGGAGAAGTTAGGTGAACAGTCTCAAGCATAGGAAATTGTCCAAGTTGCACTTGGTTTCAATCTGGCATCTGATTGTTTGAGACACAGGACCAATCAGAGGGAACAGCAGAGCAAAACCAAAGCAATCCTTGAATGGAATACTTTTGTCACTCAAGTGAAGATCGCTGTATCAGAAAGTTAGACTCCGAGCCAGCTTATAGATCTGTTCACCCTTTTTCTAGCCCCAAGCAATACTGCTCTTTGTGCATTTCTTAAGCTGATCATTACCTTTATTCTCATAACCTGGATGTGTGATTCAGTTGTAATGCGGAGAGGAGAAATAAGATGCTGATCACTCTCGGGAGGTTAAAGGATTAAAAGGAAACCCAACGCATAGGAGTAACTAGCCTTGGAAGACAAGAGAGAGGTTTTCCCTGAATAGTTTCAAGATTTCCCTTAATAGTTTCCCAAGATAGTTTCACGATAAAATTGAAAGTGCTCTGAGACATCATCGAAATAATATTGTCATTTCAGGTCCACGGATGTGTAATGATCAAGCTTACTACACTTACCTTTAGTAAGGCATTAGAAATGAATACAATGGTCCAAAAACCAATTATTAAAACAATGCTCGACATATGAGCAATGTCCCCTCTATCTGGCAGTGTCTTCCCAACCTCCAGTTATTACTCTTCATGCATAAACTGACTGTTGTCGGTCACATGGACCAAAAAAAATCGAATTTACTTCAGCGAAAACTTCAAATTGATGGCAAAATCTCCTAAGCGTAAACTGTGATTCTGCCCGATTTTTTCTGTCTAATGATCGATAATCCTCTTTTTCACAGCAGTCGTACATGCGGTTTTACAATTAGTGGAGAAAGTCACGAGGTTCGTTGTTCAAACATCTTGCAAACCAGCAAACTCGCGATTTTTCAGAAAAACATTCCAAACCCATTCACAATACATAGCTTTTGATGCTTTCTGACTTACAGTCTTTCTACACAGTAACTGAATATCACGAAAGATTTATGATCACAATTCCAGCCATTGTAATCAAGACAAAAATAGTTAATCGCTAATAATCAAGGTTCCAGTTTCCCCTCTTTCCTGCGGCCCAAGCGTACTTCTACGTTGAATCCCGCATGGGAGGGGTGGGTGAATCAGATATTGGACCTCAAAATTGCTTCCAGGCGCAAAAAGATGGCTCGACATAAAAGATAAGAGATATTAATTGTTCGCGACTCAAATTAGCTCGGGATTCTTAAAATATTGATGCTGTGTATATTCTGTTTGAAACCTTGTTATTCACTCTACTGAATGGCTTCTGATCCGTGATTGATTCGCGAAATGAGGTACTTGGACTACGCTTGAGGACCATTGGATCAATCTAAAGCAATCTGGCAAATGACCACGCCACATCGCCATAACATGGGTCTGACATAGAAACAGAGGCTCCACTTGGAACCGGAATTCCGCAATTCAGGAGTTAAGTTGAGTGCTATGGGAGTAGAGTCTTCTAGGGAGCGAATGGGAGTAGAAACCATCAAAAGAAGCCTCAATTGAGAAAGGAAGTAAGCTAAGGAGGTACTTTCCATCTGATTGACTAAGTGTCTCAGAGTACATTTTTTCCACCGACATGATCGCGTTCGGAAGTTTAATTTGCATGTTGTTCAAGCCGTTTACTAAACATCGAGATGTGTCGATAAAGGTTACTTTACGGAAGTTTTAATATGCAAGGCCATTAAAATATTCAGTAACAAATATTTTCCAGGAAAATTCCCTGTACATATCACAACAGCACCAATCCCTTCTCATTACATACTCATTTTATTCAAATTGATTACTTTTCTAACAATGCTTGGGTACTCCAGCCCACGACATCAGCCATGCCTTGAACTTAGTATCAAAGAGACAAAAATAGCTACTTATTATCTAACAAAAGGTGATACTGGTTATGTTAACGCCTGTTAAATAACAGGTCATATCTAAGGTCTCTTCCTTTGCATCACACAAAGAAAAATCAGTGACTCATGTCCTCATTTGATTTTATGTTATATTTGGCATGAGGAAAATATTACATTGTACAGCGAGTGAGTGGAGTGACGAAAATATAACGGCAATAGCACACGAAAGATAACTCCCTTGCAAACGGCGAAACCTGCAAAGCATACCTTTCTTTTAGTTAGACACGTTACAAAAATGATTAATACAGTGTCTTGTTTACACAATGCTTGGCTAATCTGGGACAAATTGAGTGAATCCGAAATCTTTGAAATGTGCTTGCAACAAGACTGTTGCAATAAAGGCTGAAAAGATGCATTGTGAGAAATCTGAATATTGTCGAAGGGTCTCAGTTGAAGTCAAAAAAAGAATCAACAACAAAACAACCTCACACAAGAGCTAAGCAGAAACCATTTTTACTACTACAAAGAAACCATTTTTCACCATATCAATAATTACCTCTTTTTTCTAGCATTACAAAAATTAATTAACATGCTATCAAATTTCTTATGAGTGCAAAATAATCACTTTTCCATGAATTAAAGTTTAAGTGAATAGTTCCCATAAACAGCAAATATTTTTCTTCAAAAGTGCTGCAAGCTATACCTAAAAACAGAGGGAAAAAAAATCATTTGACTGTAGTCATATAGTCCCCTTTGCAGCCAATCTCAGAAAGATGATCTAAATATTGGCCATAAAGAATTTCTATAATGGGTCCTGAGGGTCTAAAGTTGGGCAGTACTTCTAGTCCCTTGTCAACTCCCCACTGCTGAGGAATAGAAACATTTGTTCGTAGAAATTTTCTTGAAGTTACAGCCCCACTAAAGCTACTAGATTAGCTGTTTTCATCTGTTTTATCTATTAACTGTTTTCATCTGCAATCCATCAAATTCCATCAGCTTGCAGGACACAAAACCATCTCCTCTACAAAAATATATTAAAGTAATTGCAGATTTATATGTTTGACAACAGAATTAAAGGCCTACCTTGGACAGGTGTTGTTGAGTTGTGTTGGCTCTGAGACTCTACATGGCTTCAAATTCATCAACCCTCTGCTTTGTATTGCCTTGTCTGATTTGCTTCAGCGTCTTGTATTTATCTCTTCCTTCTTTCTGGTTCTGCATGTGGAGTTTGTCGTAAGCAGAGTAATTCTTTTCCTCTTTCCGGAGATCCTCTTGAAGTAGCTAAGACAGAAGGGGTTCAAATAACACAGTAAGAATAATTTGGCTCAAGCATTACAGACCTGTTACATGAATTCTTGACCCCCTTACAAAGGGGAATCCCAATTGTTCTTAACTCAGAGAGAAAATGAGTTAAGTTGGAATCCCTTAAGGGCAAAATTACACTGCTTGACTGAGGAAGGGAACCGAGTTCTTGTTTGAACAATTGCAGGTTAAAGAAAAGGAAGACTTGAGAGGTCAATATTCTACTGTACCTGTTAATTCAGCTAACCCCACTCAATTATATAATTTATAATGTCATAATACACTGAATAATAAATTGGGGCGTTAACATGTCGACAAAGACGAAATTCAGGGGAGATTTTCCAACAAAAACTATCTTTTACATCCCCAAATCTATACAGTTTATACTGTGGCAAAGTTTATTAGTTCTCTTGTGCATCCATGAGTTGAATTTTAAAATTTCTTATCTTCACTACCAAAACTTCAATCAGACCACTGGAAATGTAATGTCTGTATAGGTAAGCAAAAAAATTGAATACTGATACTTTTGGAACTCTCATATTCAAAAAGTTCATCAATCACTGCATTAATACCTGAAGCATTTTTCGCTGTCGCTCATTCTTTTCAGCTTCTGTAATACGATTTTCTTCAGATCTGTCTCCTTCTACAAGGGGATCTACCTCAAGTTCTGTTTCAAGTGTTGTTTGTGTTTCCTCCATTTCAATATGATCTTCCTTAACCTGGGCTGAAAGAGCTTGCTCTTCTAATAGGACTGTTTTCTCCTGGAGCCTCTTTGTCTCTTCCTGTTGGCTTTCAAGCTAGAAATATGCAAACAAAGATACAAATTATGGTAAGTACTAGGTTGAGGCAGAGTCCAAAACCACCCTGCCACAGTGACTTTTAAAAATTAACAACGCATAAAGTTGCAATGTTGGAAATCAACAATTTGCAAGTGATGTGCACCTAGTCTGCCAACACAGGAGGATTTCAAGAGTATATTCCAGTGCCAAAATTTTGAAAGCTTGGACATGCAACTTCTCTAACATTCTAAGTGAGAGCAAACTCCAGTACCAAAATTTTGAATGCTGGGACCTACATTGTTTTAGTATAATTGCTTGAGTGCTTTCAAATGCTGTTATAAATTCGTTTTGTTGTTGAAACCATTTTGTTACTATTTTTTTTAATTAAATGTACTGAGATAAACAGCCAGATTCCATTAGAATTTAACAGGTTCATTTAATTAGACTAACAAAACATTCTTCTCTCTCTCTTTTAACAAGTGTTCTGCCAAACTTAATAGCATCTTTTGTGCTGTTCAAGATTTCATTTTCTTCCATCACGTTTACCACTTCCTGCATAACAATTACAAAATGCAAGGCAGCTATTTAGAAATTCAGCACCCCTGCTATAATCACCTCGTGGATTATAGTGAGATATGATGCAATGACCACTTCACCAATCAGAGCACACTCATCTCCATAATCACTGGAGCAATTATACTTATAGGGAGCTAACGGCCAGTAATATTTAATTTTGATGAATAAAAGATGCAAAATAAAACTCATAACATTCATAAATCACTACAGAATAAACAGAACAAGTGAGCCCCTTTAACGATGAAAATGTTCACCTCCAGTCTGATCTTTTCTCTTTCCTCTTGTGCTTGTTTTTCTTGTTCCATTAACAGAGAAAGTGCCTCCTCTTTCTGGACTATTTCCTGAGCCTTTTTGAAAAGTTGAGAAAAAAAAACTCAACAAACAAATATTTTCCCCTTGTGCAGTTAAATCAATGTGCACAATCCCCTTAGAACAGTGACCACTACACAATGAATAAGTTGTCAGTAATTGGATCCTTGTGTTTGCCAAAGGACAAACATTGCAACTTGCTAGAAAGAAATGTATGGCAAGAGGTTGTTTCAACATCCAAAGAAACAATTTTGGAGAGAGAGATTCTCCCCTTTTCACTGCTGTTTTATCAGAAATGGATTTGGGTTATGTTGATACAAGGGAAGCACAAGTTTTTGTTTGAACAATCTTAAAATATGTAGTAAAATCTATCTAATCTAAACATTTCTCTATGTGCAAGGTTTATTGTGAAACTGCAAATGCAAGGATCTGATTACTGGCAACTTGTTCATTGGGTTAAGACAGTAGTAAATTACTGTTGTGGAGAACTTGTAATTTCTTTGATAAACAAATCTTATGCACCTCGCATCCTTTAATTCAAGCCTACTAGTTTACTTGTTTGGCTCAAAAAAATGACTCCTCACTGAGTTCTGTTGCAACACAGTACTATAGAGAGGCAGACATTTTATCCAGACTGCTGCTTCCAAAACACTTCAGTTTTCTTTCCTTAATGTAAGATCTACACGTACCATTTTCTCTTTCTCCCCTTCCTCTTCTCTCTGTTTCCTCTTCATTTCTTCAATTTCTTCCTGTTGTTGCCTTTTTTGCTCTTCCTGTTTGCGTGTCTCTTCTTCAAGTTCAGCCTTTTTTCTCAATAATTCTTTAGCTTTCTCCTCTGCCTCTTCCTTTTCTGCAACAACATCAAAACCACACCTGTGCTTACTTTTTACAGTAAAAATTATGGTTTTTGTAGACATTGAAGGGAACTTGCAGTTCAAATAGTAAGCATTAAACAAATCAATAAAAACTTAACCCTTTAACTCCTTGAGTTGATTAACATGTAACTTCTCCCTAAAATATCCACACATTATCCAGCAGAAAGGTAATAATACTCAAACTCAACAGGTAGAAGTTATCTTGATCAAACACCAACTTCACATAACTAAGGAAACATATGGCAGGTTAGAGGGGAGAATTAACAATAAGATCTTGTCAGTAGTTACAGGGTTAAGCTTGAAACCTTGGAATCAGAATACAGACAGCAAGGGCTAACCCTACATTTCCATAAAGCATAGTGTCCATCTTAAAGAAAATTTTAAAAAATTGGATTTCCACAGTGTTTGGTTGAATTGGAATTTTTATTTTAGAGGGACAAAAACTAGACATCCAGAAATCCTGGAGAATAAACTGCTGAGGAGGCTTAAGGACTAAACACAAACTCAAACTATCACATCTAAGTCTAGCTAAGCAGTTTGAGCTCCAAACTCTGACTACTGCATTAACTTTAAGAGGCTTCAATTTGAGACTTAACTTTTAAGAAAATTCACCTAATTGTCATATCATTTCCCTCCTGCATGAAAATATATTGAATCCCCTGTCTGCTCCAATCAGTAGTTCCTGTCTCTCAGCAAGGTCTATATTTGATATTGGAATGCCTTCTGACAAACTTTGATGAGGGTAAGGGCAGTAGAAATCAGGCTTAAGACATCTTGGAGGTAAGTGATTCGTAGCTCAGAGTTCAGTTTTGTTTCCCCTAGTTTTGTCTATGATTGTAGACTCCATCAAAAGAGCTTTGACTGCGTACCTCTCACTTGTCTTTCCTGCTCCATTTTAAGTTTATGTAACTCTTCCTCGAGCTTCCTCCTCTCTGCCTCAGCTGTTTCACGTGCTGACTTCTCTTTTTCCAGCCTTTGCCTACAACAAGGACACAAGAAACAACAAAGGAAAAACATATACCACTTCTTATTTTTAAATTAAAAGCTAAATAAATAATGTCAAGTTTCTGCATCTTTCTATGCCAAATTCCTGCTTTAAAAATTTTATGTTCACTTTATAACTCCAAGTTATGATTATGCATGATTGTACAGGTCTGTAGATAGCAGAACAAGCTGTACTGTTCTATTTCTCTAGTTTTTATAGCAATTTCTAGCATAGAGAGCTACATCAGTACTAACAGAAAACTAACCTTTCCTTCAACTTAGACTGTCTCTCTTCCATAGCTTGTGCTTTCATCTGCTGAACTTCAATGGTGTCAGGCTTCCTGCGTCTCATGTAAAGTTCATGATTTCCCATGCAGAGAGCCAGAATTCGCTTGTTTATTCTCAGGCGAGCAGCATAGAAAACAAAGTCCTATGCAATAGAAATTCAAAAGAGAATTAACACCAGCTCACTGTTATTGTAGGAAAAGATTTTTAAATAAGTACACTATGTGAAATGGAAAGTTTGAGGCAAATTCGAACACAAAGCAGCTAATTGGCTGAAGAAAAATCTGACTGAAATCTTTACTTTGCCGTTTAGTAATTCATTAAAAAATAAAGAACAAAAACAAATGCTACAGTTCAACTCCCCAGTGATTACACTTAAGAAGCACCATATAACTGCCTGGCCAAAGCCAAGAGAAACAACACTCAACAGAAGGCCTCAGCATATTCTCTGTACTGGTAAGCAGAAGACATTAAAGGACCCACACACTTCTTGCTAAGAGTAGGGAGTATATCTCCCCTTGTTGTGGTCTGGTCTAAAATCGGATATTGCGGGCACTTACAAAAATTTCCTTAATTCACTGCTTGATGCAGTCAGGCAAAAGCACACAACAAAGTGTTGTAAATTAACCCAGAAGAGCCACTTTGGACCATAACTAATCTTATGCTAAAACTTAAACTGACTGAAGAGAAAATTCTCGTACTGATGCAGTTTATTACTGGAAATGATACCCCTACAAAACTCATTGGTGATGAAAAGAAAACACTTACTGGAGCTTTTTTATCAATAGGTTTGATAATAAATTTCTTGTCATTAAAGGAAATGTTTCTGATCTCGCTCCAAGGAAATCCAATCTTGGGGGTCAGCCTGAAGAGAAAAGTATAACTTGTGACATGGCTATTTTTTGTTAGCTTAACCCTTTACACTCTAACATCAGTATGCATATTCTCCATACTGTTCTCTATACATTTCCTAGATTCTAACAAGGAGAATTAGTAAAAACATCAAGAGCTTTGTTAGTTGCTGATCATTTCCTTCACTCTCGTAACTTAAACAATTGATTGAAGGGATGGATTGTAAAGAGAAATTAGTACCATGTTACTCTCAGGGATTAAAAGTTAATGAATGATGTTGAACAATGACAATGTACAAAAGATAATGAATGTTTGATTAAAAACAAAAACCACCACAACAACAACAACAACAACAACAGCTATTTGACTTAGAAAAACGTTCAGGTTTCAATAAACAAATCCTAGATAGGATAATTCCCATGATCAAAGTTATTCAATGCAATGGCAGAAGCAACAGAAGTAAGGAATGGTTGACACAGAAAAAAAGAGACTAGATTGACACATACTGTAGGACATGGCCCTTAGTTACGGACGATATATTACTCACTACCTTAAGGATGCAAGATACTTTAGGGACAAAATTTTTCAAAAATGTCAAGTAATTAAGCAAAATCTACAGAAATTCACCACCATAAAGAGATTAGTTCAGGCAAGAATTTATGGAAAAATCAAATTCAGACAAAAGTAAGCAAACAGTGGCCAAATTTTGTGACCAAATTTTGATTTTGCAAAACATTTTTGAGATATGGTTGAAAAGTGCCAAGGTCAGAAATAAAGTATTACATACTTGAACTTGAAAAGCTTAAAACTTTTGAAAGAAGATGTCAATCAAAAATCAGCCAGTGTTGATTGACTTCCCAAAGATTGTTTGCAGAAATAATAAAACACAAGCACATTTAAATTGATTAAAGAAACATATTAAGTACTTTTCTCTTTCTGCTCAATTATCATCTCAACATTTAAGGGGGGAAAAACCAACATTATCAAAATTGGGTTGTTTACAAGCTTTGAAATGATATTTAGTTTTATAAGGATTAATTCCGAGCACTTGCTTTAATTGTAATTTTTTGTATCCCACCCATGAAAGTATCTTTTTACCTTCACTTTAAAGGGCAAGCCCCTTCTGTAAACAAAACTTAACAAATCTTACTTGTCTTCTTTTTCATAAATGTTCAAACCCAATGCATCTACGCCAAGGAAGAGTTCTGTCCCTCTTTTGTTTTTGATGTCAAAATAGTTCACTCCATACATTTCTAAATCCTGGGCAGCCTTTAGGTATTCAATCATGGCCTCCTCTCTGTGAAATCAATAGGAAAAAAAAGGTACTTAAAAATACCTGCAAAACAATTCTTGGAACACTAGCAAAAATAGCAATAACTGAACAGTCTTTGACTAGATGAGCCCTTATCACAGCCTTCTAAACCTTCTACTCTAACCCCCCCCCCCCCAACCTTTCTCCCCAGAAACAAAAGCTTTGTCAGTAGGCTGCACAATAAACATTTCAAAGCCGATGGGAGGTAAGTTGGTGAGGTAACAAGAGTTCTCAGTATGTTGTCTGATAGAACCTGAATGCAAATTTCAAATATAAATTGAAGGAAAAGATGGTGCCCCTCACAGAGGAAAAAATATTGTCCAATCCCTTCATTTTTCACTCGAGTTCATGTATTTTAAGTATACCTTTCTTTCACTGGCATTTTGTTTGATTGAAAAGCATCAGAAACAGTTTCCAGAATTCTTACAATTTCTTAGCTGTTTGCAGGGTAGATTTAGTTCTTTTTCTGGTTCTTTTTTTTATCCTTTTTTTTTAGCTTTCTTTGACTCTCACTTCAAAATTCCATCACATTCCATGTCTGTAAATGAACTTTAGGTCCTTATTGCACATAGTTTTACATGTGACTAACATATACACGTCAAAAAATAGCACCTTCTTCATGGTGCGAACCTACTAGGAAGCAACTCTTTACTTTGTTGCAAACAAGCATGGTGGCCTATCTGTTTTTTTTTCCTTTCCAGGAAATGAGAACTGACTTTCTTTCTGCAATTTTTTTTCACTTGGTAAAAGTTTATTTATTCCTTCAAACATATGATATACAATAATATGAATAATACTTACAGGTAAAATATACCCTAATTCTTAGTGTAGGAAAAGAAATTTAATTTTCATAAACACAAATTTAGTATGTACTTGTAAATATAACCATCATATTATTGGAATTATACATTATCTACAAGGTACTGCTGCTACAAAATGGGTACAGGAACCCTTTTCTTATTATAAAATTTGTGTTCCTATACCATAAAAAACCAATAGAAGAATAACTTGGGTTGAAAATGAATCATTCTAAGTAACTTTTCCCATACCTTGATATAGTAGAATGTTCACCCCACCAAGTTGAGACCCTTCCAGGAACATCATCTATCAACTTATTGACAATAAATCTAAGGAATAGAAACACTATATATTACATTTCTGAACAAAGTGTTCATAAAATAAATGAAGCCAAGCACCAGCCCCTTGAGATAATTTACAATTCTTCCATTTCAGAGAACTAGCAGCATATGGAATCAACATCTTAAAATTATTCTTAGTCTGAAACAAAGGTGAACTAACAGGACAGAACTCTTTTGAGAGACAATTAACAGGTAGATTTCAGACTAAAGTAGGAAAATGCAAGCTCTGCTTTTGGGTTTAGCTAAATCTATATATTACCCTCACCTTTCTGATACTAATCTTTCCTGTTTCAAAAACTCAGTAGTGTGGACATCCTTGGTGTATGTCCCATGCTTTGCATGTAACTATGCAGGGTAAATGAATAAATAAATTAATAAGGAAATCAATAAATAAATGAAGAAATGAATGCACAAGGTAGCTCTGAAGATTTGAGCACAGTACTCTACCCAATCCTTCCTACAGTGGTGCCTAAGTTGTATAAAAGCCATGTGAGAAAATTTAGCTAATATATGTATGTGTTTATGATTTTACCATCTGACTGGTCCTATTAAAACAATCTTAGTTGGTCACAGTGAAAGTTATGTATTTGTTTTGCCCCTTTTCATACTTTTCTCTTTTGTTATCATCTGTAACCAGAACACAAGATCCAACTTTCTACTACTACAATTCCTTGAAATAGAGCGTTTCCTTAAAAAAGTGTGAACACCGAGGGTTGCAAGCTAGTCATCCCTCTTACATTCATTATGGTCCCAAATTTTTCCTCTTTTGGAAGAAGCCACCAACTTAAAATGTTTGGAAAACTTCTGGTCATCTTTCCTAGTGTTTAGATCGTGTTGAGTACTATGCAGAGATTGACAAGGACCAAAAGGGAAATTAGAGTTATCAAAAAAAAACTATGAACGTCGCTCACTCTTAGGCTTAATGAGGTTGTAGTTAGAGGGAGCCACTGACACTTATTTCCTAATGATATTTTATCAAAAACAGGGAAAAAGATACTCAACAACAGGGAAATATTTTAGATTGTGCACTATCACATTATAGATTTTAGGTAAGTATCAATAAAATAAGAAGATTAAAGTATAAAGACATCATGATTAGGGACACTACCTGACACAAAAATATTGATTGTTGTGGTCAACTTACAGCATATGAGGACAACAAAACTGCAGTTTCTGCTGGACAAAAAGTTCTCTCAGCAAGGATGTCCTCCTTAACTTGCAAGAAGAAGAGTCTCTGCAAAACAAGAAAGCAGAGATCAGAATTCTAGTTACAGCTCTAAAAGTGTCTCCACCACCTACATTGACAAGTAAACTGAGGAGTTCACAGGACATCATTCTTACACTTCAATCCATGATGCAGACCTTGTAGGAATATGCAGTATTTTGCAAGATTCTAAAGGCTGTCACTTAAAGTTTGTATAGTAGACACTTCCAAAAATTTTGTAGCATCCCCTGAAACAATGGTTCCTCAAAACAATGAAAGAGAACATACAGTATGCTTCTCTAAGAGAGAGGTTTTTTTTGCAATGCAGTTACTTCTTCCAATGAAGTTTGCAATGATTTGACAGGTCAATTATCAACATGATTGGTTGGTTTCTGAAAGTTATTATAGGTACATTTGCTCTGTGACCTTTTACAGAGTTGTTACTTTAGCAGTTCAGCGCTATGCATCTGCTCTTTTCTTATGTTTCTTCACCGACAAACAAAGCAGATTCTTAGTTTTTTTTTTTTTTTTTTTTTTTTTTTGAAAAGTGAGGCATAACCAGTTGACCATGTTGCTGGATGAAAAATACTAGAATGATGTCCAAACATCACCATCTACACCTGAACTGACTTCCTTGAAAAATAATTGAATCATTTTCTTGCCATTGCACTTCACTGTAATGAATGACTTAAACCTTCTAGTAAGAAGTTAGTTGATACTCTCAGGACTTTATGTTATTTTCACCAATTTTTTAATGAACTCACCCTTGTGACTTCTTGTATGAGTTCCTCAGACACATCTTCAGGGTAAAATTTTGCACGGAATTTGAACTGAAGTGGTGATTCTTTCTTAACATCCTGACTTTGTACCTAATCATAAAAAAAAAAAAAAAAAAAACAAGTGTGAAGTTAACAGATTCAACCTTGTTTAGCTGCTTTTAGTTTAGTACAAGGGCAGTTTATAATTAAAGGCACATACAAAAACAGCATCTTACCTATCTATCCTCTTTATTCCAACAAAGTGCTTTAAAATCACAACAGTCTGTACCGAAACATCTCCTTACACAAGAATATTTGATACCCTTTAATTTGCTTTAAATGCTACAACTGTACTTTATTACAAAGCTCATATTACTTATAATAACAGCAGACCTAACCATAGTCACACAATTTTTTTTTTAAATTTTGTCAACAACTTAAGCTTCCACAGGATGACAATAAAAATAATTCTAACACTGTCCTGAAAAGAAAAAAAACCCAAGCCTTACACCAAGCCTCCCTGCCATTTGGGCAGATGAAATTAATAACAAGTTCTACACTTTTGTTTCCTCAAATAACATTTACATAGCTGCATCACCCTCAAAGGAATTTATAACTTATAAACACAACAACGCCTGTCAAGATGACCTGCTGTTTCAGGGTGTGACACCACCAAGTATGTAGTGTTAAGTTTAAACAGAGAAGTGACTGCTGTTAGCAGTTTTTAGGCACATTAGGCATCAACCTAACAAAAAATAGCAACAGAGAGATTGCCAACCAGTCTGGTGGAAAAGGGACAGAAAAAAAAAACAAACTTACAATCAATTCTCATTATGTTCAAGTGGCCTTGAAAAGTGTCTGCCAAAAATTTGAATAATTTTTCAACTTTTTAATTCTGTAGCTCAGAGGTCATCTGTGGTTGGTTATGAAAGCTGCATATTGGTCTCAGTTTTGAGAATGGTTGAGATAAAGCTTTTTTTTTACTTTGTACTAAAAGTTTGAGAGCGACAAAGATTATTATCATAAGTGTTTTAATAAAACATTTGAACTTAAATTACAATTACCAAGACTCTTAGAGGAAAGACTACATGAAAGAGTCAGTAGTATAAGATTAATGACAAGAACTGATAAATCAGTCTCTAAACTGCTGAACTAAGCAGCACAATAAATAATAACTTATTTCTTTGTTATTCAAACCAACTCCAAGCAAGTCTGTTATCTTTAACAAAACCTTTTAATCTCATTAGCAGCATGTCTATTAATTTACAGGTTAATTAACATAGTTAATCAATTTATTTCCCATGCAGTCTGGAATAATTAAGAGCCAGTAGATTTTACAAAGACTAACACCATTTGTAGTCTGGGAATGCTTAACAAGTGCAATTTATTGCAACTTCCGTGAGAAATCAATTAATCATTTGTTTAAGATACAGATTTCCCTTCTGTTTTCTTCACTCTATTTTAACTATCTTCACTGTTTGCCATGCTCTGAAAAAGGTCATCATGCTCAAATTTTAACATATATATCCTTACGCAAACAAAAAAACAATAGTTTGAATGAAACTTAGGAATATAGAGCCAGATTCTGAAAAAGCGCTTAACTACAGAAGTGCATTGAAAGTATATACATAAGATTGTAGCAAGTGATGAGATAATTCCAATTTTAACACCAAACTGGTGAGGAAAGACAATAGTCATGAATAAAAATGGCACACAGCCATTTCAGAATTCAGAGACAACAAGTCATGGTCTGTGCTTCCCAAATAGGAAGACTTATAATTTACAGTCTGCTTGTCTCCAGCTTTATAAGCTGTCATGGTGACTTCTGGTTTAGTTTTACCTTGTCGGTATTAGTCAAGTATGAAAAACTTTTTATTTTACTAATGGATCCCTCACATTGACAGGCAGTGACTAATGTCATATTATAGCTCTTAAAAAATTATAAATCCATTCCCTACTGAGGTTTTTGTCTCAACATATAGGATGCACTTTAAGCAAAAAGGAGCGTGCCTTGATGTGCCTTCAATCTGTACCTGCGGTTTTTTTATCTGTTATTTTCTGGTCGAACAACTGATGCTCTCTCTCAATTTCTACAGCTGGATGATATCCATAGTGAAGAGTGAATTTAAGAGAATGTTAATGACCCAGCTAGACAATTCATAATGGTTCTCTGCAATTTAGCTGAGTACCTTTTCGTGAGCCAAAACCACAAAACAATCAGCTCTTATTTCCATTGAAGTGCAGACGCAATCAGCTCTTATTTCCATTGAGGTACAGATGCGGAGGATGCAAAGACTCAACCTGGTGTTTTGCAATACTAAATATGCATTTCATTTTCAAAACATTTCAATTCGAACTTTACCTTCTTGTTTAGCTTTAGCCATGTTTCATATCCTTTGGTGTCTGTGTATTGCAGGCCAAAAAACCAAATCTCTCGTAGGCCTATCGTCTTCACGACCTGGAAAAATAAATTAGAGTCTTGAAAACATATGGATTAAAATAGGCTTGGTTTCAAAGATGTCGTTCCCATGTGTGGAGAATTGAATACTGATTAGTAAATAGTTATTAAACTATGCATAGTGTGCAGAGTGCTCGGCGAGTTGAAATTTTTTCAAGATTTTTTACCTGATCAAAGAGCTGTTTTCCTGTTGTGCTTGGCTGAATTGCAAACTCCAGCTCTGCATCCATGGTCGTGACGCGAACGTTCAGCTGAGGAAATCAATAATCGGACTTATCAAACGCAGGATCGAAAATGAATGTACTCAAATATGTACTTTCTGTACCATACGAACTGTGTTTAAGTCTGAAGTCTGAAGCGGTTGAAAAATTGATTTAAATTAGGACTTACCACTTTCGGCATGTTGAAGAGTTTTGTCTTGTCACCACAAATAAACTCACAAACTAAAAATGAATTTCCTTGACCGGCAGCTACAGGGTTAAGTTTGGGCTGTAATACAAGAGAACACGAAATTCAACAAAGCTGAAATTCATAGTCACGCTCACTGAGAACTTTCCGTGTAGCATATTCAGGCAGTGAGCCACATCTCTAGGATTTACCCGGATAGTAAAATCCCTCACGTCGGTGGACTAGTCTGAAAAGCTTATCTTATAGGCAGGAATAATGTTCATCGGCGGTGAATTACAATTACAAGTTCAGAAATGCATATGCCCGCTTCCAATTCGAACGAAAGATTGAAAACTCCGTTAATATTAGAGAAGAGAAAATCAAAACTGCTATCAATGTCCTCTAAGATTATCTGTCTAGTTTTACTTACCTATGATGAAAAATGGAGAAAAAATAAGAGAGAGTTGAGCCAAATTTTACGGTAAATCTCAACAGTTTGGCTCGCTAGAATGGGCGTAACTCCAAGGCTAAGAGCAGTGTGAAGCAATATATTAAGCCCCCTCTGGTATCAAATATGATTGGCACAAGGAAGACTGGGACCCATTTCCGGGCATTTCTGACTTTTTTGGGACAGTGTTTCCGGGAGGAAAAAATGAAGAAAAAATGCGACACCCGGAAACTTTCTAAGCCCTTGATAATCTTGAGGCTCAATTGACGACACGGAGAGTATTGACGACAATGAACTTCTGACGAATTTTTTTCTTTTACTTTATGCACTTCTAGAATTTTCCATCGTACAAAAATTTCCCGAGAATTATTCCAATTGTAGTCCTGTCAAAATTACAATTTGCATATTTAGTTTGAAAGGATCCAGAACTAAGGATGCGAACAGACTTGTTTATGGTATCTTGATGCATGTAATCAATATAGTTGATATTATGCACGCCACGGGCATGCATAATCCCAAAGTGCATTAAGTTTTGATTCATTTCAAAACTTCGTCGAAGATTTAGGTTAAACGACAAAAATACCGAGATGAACTGTCAAAGATTAAACGATTGTAATGTCTCTCACTTTGTTGAAGTCATTCGCGTAAATCATTTATTTAAGAAGATTTCGAGATAATGTTGCGTGACCAATTATGGTCAAAACCAAGGACTAAGAACACATTTTTTTAAATGAAATACGTCATATTTCTAACACCTTTAGTTCGATTTCATTTTCGCTTTGACTCTCTTATTTAACAAATCAAAAACACGCAAGACCTAAAGGAAAGTATCATAACATTTGATTTCGAAGTTCGGAGAGAATCATGAGTAATCATCAGTGCAACATGAAATTATGAAACATTCCCAAAAATCTGCTCGAAAATTCCCATAAAATTTTCTCTCTATACGCAAATTTGGCAAAGATTTTTCACCAAAAGAACGATCAGAACTGGTGAACAAGTCAAACATTCGCAAATATGTAACAGTTAAGTTCTCGAGGTTTCAAAGTTCCTGTTAAATTTCCTTCAAAAGCTAACCGCTCAAAATATCCCCAGCACAAGAAGAACGCTGACTTACCTCGATTTGCGAACACGAGGGATCTGATTTGTCTCGCAGATGAAAACAATTCCAACTTTTAAACCGGCGTTATATGACCTTGAAGGTTTAGGTGATTTTTAAACCGGGAATATGCAAACGAGGTATTTGTGGTGGAGTGATAACTTGAGTATTACGTCATCCCATCTGCATGAAAAAGAAGTGTATACACTTTTGGTAACTATAGCAACAAAAGATTGAACCAGAAAACAAAACACTTTGTGGGCGACAATTTATTCATAGTTTGGATAGTTTTGGTTGAAGTCATTTCGCATTTTCTCAATGACAAATCAAGTAAACATTTTTTTGCAAAAAAATCAGAAGCTATTGACGGTTACAAACTATTTTTAATCACAGTCCAATTAAAAGGACTATGCTGTTGCTCGTCGAGAAAATCCCATTATATTTTAAGAGTTGAAATTTATCAGTATCGCAAGATAAAGCACATACTGGTAGCTGTCTCTAAAAATATAACGGATTTTTTTTTCTTAAGAAACTAGCAACAGCGTAGTACTTTGATTGGACCCTGAAAAAAAATAGTTTTTAACAGTAATCGTTAGTTCCTTAATAAAGATTTAGAGATCGATGCGGATCTCACCTGTACTATAAAAGACAAAGGCTCTTGATCAAAAATTTTATTGTAAAATAAGGCGAGTTTCGTTTGGAAAGACGAAAAACAAAGATTCTGGAAAATTTATTGCATTATTGTTAATTCATTTAATTCTGGTTTCACTCGATAATATCAGAAGTCTGCCGAAATTTCTTTCTGTTTTTGATTTTTTTGCGGGGGCGTTGTTCGATGCGTAAAAATGGAAAAACTTTTGTAGTAGAAGACTGGTACGTGATGTCTTCTTTAAATCTTACTTTTCTGGAGAAGTTTGGATTGTAGATGAACATGACAACTACACGCTCAAGAAAACATTAGCGATAGAGATTACGATGACGTTGAACGATAAAGCAGTTGATAACGATAACGATAACAATGAATGTTGAGGGTATTGGCATTAGCATCCCGGTGGAGTTCATACAAAAACGCTGCCCTGCAATGCTAGGATTTTTAAAGAAGTATTGGAAAGTTGAAGACGTGTTTCAATGCGTCTCAATGGTAAAAATTGACAAATCTTAACCGTTAGTTGTCAAAAAAGTTAAGCGTAAAAAAATTCTGGTGACAACAGCGGAAAGATGTTAACTGCAAGCTGTAAATTTGCCAACATTTTGACCGTTAGCCGTAAAAGCCATCACCTCATCGAGATCCTCTGTCAATTGGGAAAGTGTCGTTGCCAGCCTCACTATATAAAAAAAGATTTACCATAACAATAAATGACAGTGATGATAATAATTATAATGATAATGATAATTAACAACTATTCAAAGAAGTGGAGGTGGCTATTGGTGGATATTTACCAAGCTGCGAAGCGGGGAGGTAAACAGCCATCGACACGAAGGTAAATAGTTGTTTCAGTTTATACTAAAACAGTGGGATAAAAGAGCACAAAAAGATGATTTTTATTCATTTATTCCTGCGATTATTATGGAGTTTTCGGGAGCAAATCCCGCGCAAGTTGCTCGACAGTGAATAGGTAACAATTATTCCATGAGTGCGCCTTGGATATGAGATGGCGAACAAGGTGCTTAGTGCCGAGTGGGCTATAACCAATCTCGTATCCAACAAGCGCGAATTCCTTTCAATTACAATTGAAATGCAACGTTGGAATACGAGGGGGCAGGAGAAAATTTTCTGAGACGGTTGTGATTTACGTACGAATAACCGAGAAGAACGGTCGACTTTTATTTCACGCCAGATATGGCAACTGTTACGAAGGAGTTTACGAAAGCACCACCCACGCAGAGTATTTCATGCTGGTTGATGAGGATTTTAGAGAAGCGGTCAATATTCTTCAAAATCAGAACGGAGGAGAGATCAACTTATTCATGAACAAACAACCTTGCTATAGATCAACAGGACATGGAAAGAAAACTGTCCTCAAGGTAAAAGACTGTGCTCAAGATCTAATCAATTTTTACAATGATTATTGTTTACCTCACGGAATAAAACTGACAATTAATTTGTGTCAGTTGTACAAGGTTGATATGTCGCTCAGTTCAGTCGATAGATCTCTAGCAACAGACATTATAAACGCTAGACTAGGGGTGAAAATAATGTTCTCTTGTGGTATTGAGCTGTTGGCAATGAGAGAGGACTCCTGGAAATCACTAGCTGAGATATCACACATCCAGTTACCTGCCTATGAAGACAGCGATCGTCAAAAATTAGACCGATACATCAACTTGGTTCTTTCCAAAATAAAAGGAACATCAATTCATTTACTTACCAAATATAGTCCGTTAGATTTAGCAAGTTAACGAGTTATGCACTAAGATTTTCATAGTCTTTACTGCTAAACTGATCCGTTCTGTAATTTTGTTTTCCGAGTCTTCCAAGCTATGCAAAAAATCAGTTTGGGTATAACCAGCCATTTTTTGTGTTGTGCTTGTATTTAAAGAAACAAATTATATTTTTGATTTCAAATTCGTCTTTGTGAGTGAGTGTATTATACAACCGCAGTAATTGTTTTCCGAATGATGGATGTCCTTGCTCCTGTTCCCCGCTCCAACTTACACTACCACAAAAGTTAGTAATTATCAACCTACAGCCCTACTGTAACTTTTGCCGCGTCCATGTTATGTGAGTGAGATGATTATTCGCAAAATTTCTGCTTCAAAAATCTGCCTCTCTAGAATGACCTCTCGGGTCCTGATACTTAAGTTAATTTATAATTATATCGACATGGTCGGGCTGTTTTGGAAATATCTATATTCAGGTAATTACAGATCTAATTTATATTCATATATTTATAGATCTATCGTAATCATCATTTTTTTTCAAAACATCTTAAACACTATTTTCGAACCGTATTAAATTATAAGGGATTTCCCGGTATCGAGTTCTCGGGAAAACCCGCTTCTTTTCCGAGAAATGAACTGATCGATGTCACAAGGTGTTTACCCTTTTTTACCCTTTACGGTGGCTAATTTACGTTTTCAACTCAGTTATTAACACTAAATTACCTGATTTCCTCAAGGTCATGCTTCAACTAAGCGATCTTTTCCCCAACTTCATATGAAAGTTTGTTTGCACATATATACCTTAAAAGGGTGGCAAAGCTTCCGCAGAAAACTTCATGCACAGACACATCTGCGATAACCTGCAGCCTAGCGATGTTAACATTACACCCTATTTGATTTTTCCAGCGTTGGAAAAAAAAAACGAAAATGAAAAGAACAACATTGGTAAGGTCTTGTTATAGATGAAGCTTGATTGTGTTGGGATTGCTGCAGTATAAGGTAGCCAATTATTTGCGTTCTTTCTCGGCATGTTAATTATGTTTTATGACCGCCGGGAAAGATAAGTACTGGAACAAGCACATCTGTAATTCATAAGCAGTAACGTGGCAGGAATGGCTATTTCCGTCGAAATTACATCACTTCCTCAGAAAAACCCGGTCTTCTGAGAAACCTCTCGGTAGCTATATAAGCCGATGAGATATACAGTTTATAGAAAAGTGTCATAGCCCGTTAACTTAATGTCTTCATGGCGTCTCTGCCGGATCTCTCTGTGTTCACAATAAAGCTGAAACATTGATTCTCTGATCATCAAGACCAAACTGTCACGGCTTCAAGATCCTAATGACGAGCGAGGTAGGACTGGCGGTTTCTGAGCATGGGAGTTTGGCTGTCGTCAAGCGAAGTGAAGGACGGATTGAATTGTTCCGCAGTTCAAGAGTTGTTGATAATTCAAGTCAGCAAAATCAAACAATTACTGAAGATCTCATAAGTCCTTACGATATCTGCTTCGCACCAAACAACCACCTTGTTGTGACGGACATTGGTGATAAGACTTTTAAGGTATTTAACTTTGAGGGATCACCTGAATTGGTTAGCAAATTCAGCTGCCTGATGCGAATCAGAGATGGACATACTTTTATAAAAAATTGTGAAAACTTGTTGAGTCCTTCAGGCCACTTAATACTAGTACCTCAAAATATAGTCGCCGGACCGATTACTTCATCGCAACTTTTTGTTGTATACGGAAATCTTATCTTTGTCATTACAATGGACTGGAATACAGTGGAAATTCTTGACTTTCAGAAGCTATCTTCCTCACAAGATTGGGCCCGTGTTCAGAGGAAGGCGCGTGCGGAATGTGACAAGGATAGTCTTGTTCACGACCACAGTGAGAATCATAAACTTGGAGGACGTAATCCCTTGGCAATCACTAAAGCTCAGTTCTGCGCCATGTTCTACCACGTTACACAGACAAGAAGAGGTAACATAAATTACAAATGCCTTGAAAGTTCGCAATGCCGTGTTGGTAAAATGCCGAGGCGAGCCGATCCGAGATTTGATTATGCCGCCTCTGTAGTCATCTATGTTCGCTTGACCGACCGAACAGGAAGATTGATTTTTCATGCTAGATATGGAAATTGCTCTGAAAGCGAACGCCGCAATACAATTCATGCGGAATACTTTATGCTGATGGACGAGGAGTTTAAAGAAGCTGTGCTGTTGCTTCAAGATCAGAGAGGAGGTAGCGTTACTATGTTCATGAACAAACAGCCTTGCTATAAATCAACTAAACACCACGACAGAATGCCTGGCCTCACAAAAAAACAATGCGCACAGGACTTAGTGGAATTCTATAACTTGCACTGTTCATCTTATGGTGTCAGCGTCACTATTAATCTCTGCCAGTTGTACAAAGTTGACAGGACACCGACGCCGCAGTTTGAGGAAGATATCACTAACGGCTTAGAGGGAATGGGCAAGATGATTGCTGCCGGCATCAAGTTAAAGGCAATGACTAAGAAAAGTTGGCTGCAACTTGCTGGATACGCCTGTATGACACTACCTTTATATGATGGAGGAGAACGGCAAAAGTTGGATCAACACATCAGAGAATTTCTCGTCGCTTGCGAAGGCCAAAGAACAGCCGGCGCAGGCCAGAATCAAACAGAGAAGGAAGAGATAGACACTAAAGGTCATTTACAAGCCAAGATAGAATGATGGAAATATATATGCATAGTATTTAATTTTAAGCTTGACGCTACTTTATACATTTGCTGTTCGGAGAAACAGCTCAGATCAAGCTGGAGTTCGTTAACGCACCAGGTGACTATTCACTCTCCTCCACATGGAAAATCGAAATCCTAATCGGGGGAACAGTTATTTTATTCGGATTTGAATCGTTGAGAATATTTAAGGAAATAGGCGGATTGTACAATGTACGTTTGAGTTCTTCAAAATCCTCCTGTGTCAAAAAAAAAAAACAGTTCGAGCGACTGATTTATAGAATTCAGTATGAATAGCGATTCCGTAGGTTATCAACTGCGTGTAGACACACGATAAAATTGCAAAATAAATTCATGAAACTCGTGGTAATTTTCTTTGTTTTTGACCATCTAAAAACTTTTCGGTTGCTCTGTTGTTGCCAAAACTGCCAGAAAATATTATTTTGAAGCCAAAAGAAGTTGTCTAGAAGTCATACCACATGACAAGTGGCAAACCTCACCTTACTCTTCGCCCTTATCCGCCCGAGAGACAATTGCTACAAATAATTTCCTAACACTCGTCGTTCAGTTGACTATTTCTTTTATTCTCTCTTCAATTACACAAGGAACTTTTCGAATCCCTCAAAACGTAGCTATCAGTTCCGGACCTTCATCGCAACTATTCGTATCAAGTGGAATGGAAGTAATTGTGATCAACATGGACTGGAGTAAGCAAAGCCTCGTCAGCTACCTTCCTATTTGTTCTCCCTTAGATTGGCGACTACTACAGGTCGATAAAAGGTTAGTTTGTGATAATGCTAGTTCAGTGCAAGATCACAAAAACAGTCACAAGGTTGGTGGGTTCAACCCTATGGCAATCACAAAAGCTCAGTTCTGTGGTATGTTTTACCACGTAACAGAAACGAACCACACGGGATTTTCGTGTCTTGAACAATCGAAATGCAACGTCGGAATACGAGGGGGCAGGAGAAAATTTTCTGAGACGGTTGTGATTACGTACGAATAACAGAGAAGAACGGTCGACTTTTATTTCACGCCAGATATGGCAACTGTTATGAAGGAGTTTACGAAAGCACCACCCACGCAGAGTATTTCATGCTGGTGGATGATGATTTTAGAGAAGCGGTCAATATTCTTCAAAATCAGAACGGAGGAGACATCAACATCTTCATGAACAAACAACCTTGCTGTAAATCTACAGGACATGGAAAGAAAACTGTCCTCAAGGTAAAAGACTGTGCTCAAGATCTGATCAATTTTTACAATGTTTATTGTTTACCTTACGGAGTAAACCTGACTATAAATTTGTGTCAGTTGTACAAGGTTGATATGTCGCTCAGTTCAATCGATATATCTTTGACAACAGACATTGTAAACGCTAGACTAGGGGTAAAAAGGATGTTTTCTTGTGGTATTGAGCTGCTGGCAATGAGAGAAGACTCCTGGAAATCACTAGCTGAGATATCATACATCCAGTTACCTGCCTATGAAGACAGCGATCGTCATAAATTAGACCGATACATCAACCTGGTTCTTTCCAAAATAAAAAGAACACCAGTTCATTTACTTACCAAATATAGCCAGTTAGAGTTGGAAAGTTAACGAGTCATGCATCAAGATTTTCATATTAGTCTTCACTGCTAAACTGATCCGTTCTGTAATTTTTGTCTGGCAGGGCATCAGAGGAAATCTTCCAAGCCATGCAAAAAATCACTTTGGGTATAACCAGCCATTTTATGTGTTGTACTTGTATTTAAAGAACAAATTATATTTTTGATTTCAAATTCGTCTTTGTGGGTGAGCTTATTATACAATCGCAATAATTGTTTTCCAAATCATGATGGATGTCCTTGCTCCTGTTCCCCGCTCCAACTTACACTACCACAAAAGTTAGTAATTATCAACCTACAGTCCTACTGTAACTTTTGCAGCGTCCATGTTATGTGGGTCAGATGATTGTCTGGAAAATTTCTGGTTCAAAATCTGCCCCTCTAGAATAACCACTCGGGTCCTGATGCTTAAGTCAATTTATACTTATATCGACATTGTTAGGCTGTTTTCGAAATATTTATATTCAGACGATTACAGATCTAATTCATGTTCATATATTTATAGATCTATCTTAATCATCATCTTGCCAAAGACATCCTAAACTCTCTTTCCGAACTGTTTAAAATCATAAGGGATTATCATCGAGTTCTCGGGAAAACCCGCTTCTTTTCAGAGAAAAGAGGTGATGTCACAAAGTTTTGACTGCAGATAATTTCCTCGATGTCATGCCCCAACTAGGCGATCTTTTCCCCACCATCATAGAAAAGTTTGTTGGTACACCTCTACCTTAAAAGG